GCAAGATAAGAGGGTGGTAGCTTATGCATCTCACCAGTTGCAAACTCATGAGCGAAATTGCCTGACCCATGATGTCACGACCCCTTTTTGTAAGGAATCGAGAACATTGTTTCTACATCACATACTTATTTAAGGTAAATAAATAATAGAGAATATAAGTATAAAATTCACTTCTCATTCAAAATAAAACAAAGTTTCTTACAACAAATATCCAATAAAACAACACAATATTACATTTAGTTCATAATATTCAAAATACTCAAAATTATACTACGTAGCTCCCTCTACATGAGGTCTCAAAATATAAGGAAAAAGGACTTAGATGCAATATTACTCGACTTCAGCTTCTAACATTTCTCCACTGGCCCCTCAGCCTGTGAAGTAGATGCAACACCTGCTACATTTGCTCACGTACCACCGTAGGATCATTGCAGTACACACGCACACAACGACATAAAAAGAAATGCAAGGGTGAGCTTACAAAAATAAAATAAAATCATATATATAGAGCAAAATATTTCTCACAGCAATAGGCCCATGCATTTTCAGCCCATCTAATGCACAGGATGGAAATGGTTTCCAACTGGTTTCACAGCCTAAGTAATCCAGAAGGAACCGAGCCGGTTCGGGAGCGACCCATTCCGGTATCTGGATCCAGACAGCACAGCACAGTAGCTCAGCATGAACTTACCGTTACACGTCTATCCACCTAAACATGTAACTCGGCTCTATAATGATGCAAAACATATTTTTCAGTATGATGCACACCGCCAAAATTATTGTAACAGCTCAGCTAAGGCAAGTTTATAATAGATCAGCCAAAATCTCAGCATTTAAAATCAATTAACAGCAGTTACAGTTTAGAAAATAGCTTTTATTCAAATGATTTATCAAAATTCAGATCAAAACTTCTTGTAATAATATATCAACCGTCCAAAACATAGATTATATGCTAAAGTAAGCTCCCCTTACCTCAGAACGATGATTCACACTAGATCTATCGAATATTACTTGCTTTATAGTAAGATTCACCGAAGATTTGGTTTTAGAACAGAGTTTCTCCTAAGAACACCATGAACTTCTATGAGAAAGAGAAGAAGAAGAGAAACGAACGGTAAATCTAGCTTCAAACTTAAAGAAACTTACTTCAAATCCTTCAGAATAGATGTAGAATCTCAGATCTGGTAAGAAATTTAAGTTTAGGAGGGTTTAATATGAGAGAAAATGGTAGTATACGGCCTTAGAACCTTTGAGAACCTTGGATAGGGGTGAAGAAATGAAAATTTCGTGTGAAGCCCCCTTTTTATAGAAATTTTTTGAAATTTACTGTTCACCGCTGGAATTTACTGTTCACGCGAAAACACTGTTCACCGCCTTACTGTTCACGCTAGAAACACTGTTCAGGAAACTATTCACGCCGGAAATTACTGTGCACGCGTACTGTACACGCACTGTACGCGTATGTGACGTCAGCCATGACGTCATGATGATGTCACTAATGACATCAGCAGTCACTGTACATACGTGATTTTTACTGTTCATACACGGTTTGTATGCGGTTTGCATTGTTCATAGGCGGTTTTACTGTTCATTCGGCACTGTTCATACGGTACTGTTCACTTTTTTTTAAAAAAAAAAATAAATTCCAAACTCTATGTAAATTTATTCCAATACCAAATAATCCTTCAATTAACATTGAACAAGTATAAAATATTATAGATTACTCAATAATAAATCACAAGCCTGACACATGACCTTGAGTTAGCTACTATAGTCTGTGCTCTAAAAGTGTGGCGCAGTTTGATGTGTATAGTGATCACAAGAGTCTGAAGTATTTGTTTGATCAGCGAGAGTTAAATATGAGGCAGAGGCGTTGGATAGAATTCTTTAATGATTATGATTTTCAACTCCACTACTATCCAGGAAAAGCTAATATGGTGGCTGATGCATTAAGTAGGAATGTGGTTTAGGCATTCTCCTTAAGAGTTAGTGAAACTCTTTTGGTAGAACAATTCTGAGACCTGAACTTACATGTGGACTTATCACCTGAAAAGATTAGTTGCGGCCATATTGTGGTAACTAATAATTTCTTGCAAGAAATTAAAGAGAAACAATTGTGGGATCCTATGTTATGTCAGACTGTATTTCTCTTGAGGACAGATAAGACAGAGGGTTTTAGTAGAGGTGCTAATGGTATTCTCAAATGCCAAGGTCGAGTTTATGTTCCTAGAGATGCTGAATTGAAGAGAGCAATTATAGAAGAAGGACATAAGGGTAGTCTCAACATTCATCCTGGTGTTACCACGATGCATTAAGATTTGAAGCGGATGTTTTGGTAGCCGGACATGAAGCGAGAGATAGCTGAGTTTGTTAAAGCTTGTTTGACTTGCCAGAAGGTAAAGGCAGAGCACCAGAGTCCTCCAGGAGAGTTGCAGACGATGGAAATTCTGAAGTAGAAGTAAGACCATGTGATTATTAATTTTGTGGCCCATCTACCTAGAACAATTAAGAATCATGATGCTATATGGGTCATAGTTGATAGGCTAACCAAGAGTCTGCATTTCTTGGCAATCAACATGACCTATAGCTTGGAGAAATTAGTAGAATTATACATCAGAGAAAATGTCAGGTTGCATAGAGTACCTTCTAGTATTATCTTTGATAGAGATCTTTGATTCACTTCTCAATTTTAGTAGAGTTTCTAAAAAGCTATAGGCACGCATTTGAGGTTGAGTTTTGCATATCATCTGTAGACAGATGGTCAATCTGAGCGTACTATTCAGACCTTAGAAGATTTGTTGCGGACTTGTATTATGGAGCATAGGGGTAATTGGGAGGATATGCTTCTTTTGGTAGAATTCAATTATAATAATAACTACCATTTGAGTATAGACATGGCACCATTTGAGGCTCTATATGGCAGAAGGTGTAGAACCCCTATCTATTGGTTCTAAGATGGAGTACATTTAATGGTTGCGCCTGAAATGTCACAGGAAACTAAGGAGAAAGTTGAACTTATTAAAAAAAAGCTGAGAGCTACTCAAAGTCGTTAGAAGTCTTATGCTGACTGACACAGGAGGCCCTTAGAGTTTGAAGTTAGAGATCATGTATTCTTGAGAGTGTCATGTACTACAGGTGCGGGACGAGCATTAAAGGCAAAGAAGCGAACTCCTAAGTTCATTGGGTCGTATCAGATATTGCATCGCCGTAGCTTATGAGCTAGGTTTACCACCTCCGTTGGCAGGGTTACATAAAGTTTTACATGTATCACAACTAAAGAAGTATATTCCTAATCTATAATATTTTATACTTGTTAAATGTTAATTGAAGGATTATTTGGTATTGAAATAGATTTAGATGGAGTTTAAAAAAAAAAAAAAAAAAAAGTGAACAGTAAGGCAGTATGAACAGTATTTTTCAGCATGAACAGTAAGGCTGTGTGAACAGTAACTCCAACATGAACAATGCCTTTTTTTTCAGAATTTTGCCTATAAATAGGGGTCTTTGCACGAAATTTTCACTTCTTCACACTTCTCAAAGGTTCTAGAGAGACCCAAGGCCATATATCATTATTTTCTCTCATACTAAACCTTCTTAAACTTATATTTCTCGCCAAATCTGAGATTCTATGTCTATTCTAAAGGATTTGAAGTAAGTTTCTATAAGTTTGAAGTTAGATTTACTGTTCATTTATCTTCTTCTTCTCTTTCGTATAAATAGTTATGATATCTTAGGAGAAACTTCGTTGTAAAGTTAAATCTTCGGTAGATCTTGCTTTAAAACAAGTAATATTCGGTAGATCTGGTGTTAATCATTATTCTAAGATAAGGAGAGCTTTTTTAACCATTAAACGATATTTAAAATGATTTGGTATGTTATTACATGAAGATTTGAAATCTTATATAGAGGGAGTTATGTAGTAAAACTTTTGTGTATTTAATTATTATGAATTAAATGTAATATTATGTTGTTTTGTTGGATATTTGTTGTAAAGAACTTTGTTTATTTTGAATGAAAAGTGAATTTTATACTTATATTTTCTGTTATTTATTTATCTCAAATAAATAAGTGGTGTAGAAATAATATTCTCGGTTCCTTATAAAAAAGGGTTGTGACAATTCTAAGGTCTTGAAAATGGCTATCACTTGTTAGTAAGGGAGAATCTATTCTGTTAGCTAATTGATATTTGAACCCACGAAATTGCATCTGTCTTAATTTTGTATAAGTATATTTTTGCTTTTTATTTTTCTGAATAAGTATTAAGTTTTTTTTCTATGTATATGAGTTTTGAGTTTCTCTTGAACTCTCTTTAATAATATATGTTTTACTTATAAAAAAAATATTTATTACACTACGCATAAACATGATTACAGTTAACAAGAAGATATGTAATTCTTATTTGAACACGTTAGTCTTGAAACATATTTGTATTGGCATGTTATCCTTATTAATTTTATTGGTTATTTGATTCAATTATTATATTTACATTTATGCACATAAGTGGGCTAATCTTTTATAGGAAAAAAAAATACATAACTCAATAAAATTATGAAGTATATAGTAAGGGTATATTTGTTTCACTTTTTAAAAACAGTTTTTTATTTTTAAAAATATAGTACAAATTTGAATTATATTTTATCTTTAAAAATTTGTTTTTAAAAAGCGAAAAAAACGTATTTTATGTTTTACTTGAATAAACGATTGACTTTTTAGAATTGCTGGTCACTTTTCTTTTTAGTAAGTCAATATACCTCTTAATAGCATTCTTGAGATCGAAAAATTCTTTGTTAAGGGGCATGAAGAACTTCTCTATTTGTAAATCAATCGTCGAGTAATAACAAATTTAATATCATACGTTGAATTATTATCAAGTTCCCATAAAAGCTCACTTATTTTAACTTTTAATTTGATAACTTGAAGGATTATTAACGGGAAACATTCTGTGGAAGCATACAAAATAAAATAAAATAGAATCCCAAAATACACGAAGAAAGCAAAGTTTAAATATCATAATATGAAAACCATCTACGAATTATCTCATAAGCCTCTCTAGGCTTCTGGTATTGAACTACGTGGCTCCCTCCCTGTAAGCATAGGTACATGCATTCAATTTTGATAACATTAGTCATTTCATATATAGACACTTGTATTTATTTATTATTTTGCTAAATTGTTTTGAAGAAAATTCAAACAATTATCGTTAACAAAATAAAGTGAAAGGATGTTCATGTACTTTATTTAATAATAATAATAATAATTAAAAATTAATCATCACCGTATTGCAAAATTTATAGTGTTACTTGCCTTAACAGTTACATATGTTAGGTGATATTCGTTCCTTTCGTATTCCTCGGTATACCTATGAGAAGAAGAAAAAACCAAAAATGTATGAACTCAAACCTTCTCATAATAATAAAAAAATCAAATAATAAATTTCATGAAATTAAGTAAACATATGCATCTAACTAACCCTGCCACTTCGCCACCGATGAACCATGCACGCCAACTGCTACTCAACTTCATATTTTGAGACTTTATTATAGAATGTGTACTAAGATATGGTACGTCCATATCAAGATCGCCGCTAACAAAAGGAAAAAAAAAACTTTAAGTTGCTTAACCATACCCTTAGAATAAATTTATTTTGATTATGTAATGTGCAAATAACCAAATGATTTTAGAAACTTACATGTAAATTAATGATCGAAGATTTGTGGTTGTGAGACTCTGAAGATATTCAACAACACTAGGAACATTCTTTGTATATGCATCAATAAATGCATCAGTAATATTACATCTTCGGACACCCCCTTTTGTTCCCTATACATTTCACATTACAAATTTTCTTAGTTATGCAAAATTCAATTTCTATATTGAAGGGTACCGTATACATTATCAGTTAACACACGTTACCTCTCTAACATTGAGATTCTTTCGAACATTTGGATCATTTGCCCATTTATCACTAAGTGTAAATTTGTCCGTCTTCAATGATAGGTGTGAAAATTATAGAAACTTCTGTCAGAAATATGCAATGTATAGAGAAAGAGATAGGGCCTTGCTAATTACCTCACACGTGAATGATGAATAGTGGGTAGCCATGATGTCTCCCAAGAGAATTCTTTGATTGTTGGGAAACCCAGCGAGACAACTTGGGTCCAAGATTTGATCAAAACTTACGTAGCGGACTAACTAAGCAACATAATTAAGTGTTAAATTAATAAAAAATAATAATATAGACCTTTCCTAACACCCTAGCCTTTTACTATATATGGGGATTTCATTGCATTCCCTTGAAATGGTACATTATATTTATGCATATTTACTTTTGCACCCCTTTTTTTATTAGTTACACCACCTTTTTTTATATTTTTAGAAATAATATTCGGAAAAATATTACTCATTTCTAGAAATTAAATTCTAAAATTTAATTTTTAGAAAGCGTTATCAAAAGCAATGGACTATAATTGTTAGGATAGCACATAAACAAATTCAAATTCAGTTCAAAATCACGACAAAAAAAAAAATTAAATCAAGTTCAAAATATAAATAAATTGTAAAAGATACTCACCTCTGAGTAAACTTCATAATCTGACATGCAATTTGTATTGTTTGGATTAATATTGATGTAATCCCCATTACAATTAGCTTTCATTGACTGTAAAAGAGAAATAGCACCTTAATCCACATAATGATACCTTTTAAGAATATTAGCAAACAAAGCGAAATGAATTAAAGAGAGCATGAGGAGTACTATCCTTACATCATCAAAGTCTAATTAGAACATTGAGCAATACACTTCATACAATGTGTAAACTAATAATAATAATAATAATAATAACTACAGCATCTAAACTACCCTTAGCAGAAATGATAGTAAATGAGTTGAATTATAACCTCATATAGCTCATTCGATATTAATGTTCGTTGTTGAGAATATTGAACTCTTGCATTGAAATCCAAGTAAGTGTCAAGTAATGCACTTGCAAGCACAAAACCCTAGTGAAGTTCAAACAAAGATCAAATGTGACTAAGATATATTCTTTGAAACCAAAATGTTATATCAAACAAAATAAATCATGAGCATTTTAGTATACTTTAAAGTTTAGGAGAGGGAAATATCCTGCTTTATAACCTGCAAGTCAGTAAAAATATTCATCATAAAACAATTTGGAGCACAATAAAAAAAAAACAATTTTATTGGTGGAATCAATGGCAAATCAATTAATGTTCACCTTCATATACTTTTTGTACCAGGGGAGGAACAAATAAGCCTGCATACGAACCACCACCTATATAAGCTGGATTTGATTGAAATTTGGGGTGATCCACAAGCCACTTCATACAATGTAGAGAAACAAATAAGACAATCATTACTACAAATCATGACATTCTAAATAAGAACATAAAATATAATAGCAAATAGAAGTTTCAGCAAAAATAATAGTTTAAAATAACGTAAACCTTTTGTAGAAAATCATAGATATGTTCCACCGTTTGCTTATCATTGGTATAATAACCTTGTTGGGTTTTTGAGTAAGAAAATCCTGTACCAATTGGTGCATCGACATATAATATGTTGAGTACCTGCGATTTAACATGCGTTATTTTTCAAATTGAGAGGTTAATATTTAATTACCATAACAAGCTTAAAACCATTCTGTGTTTTTTTTTTTAATAACTCAAGTTTTTGAGATGATTAACGATGATTTATATGTAGTTGCATTCTTCTTAACTTTATTCTTTAAAATTAAATGTCAGTTAATAGTCACACATTTTGAATTCAATCGGTTTAAGTATCTAAAAGTATTAAATTTGTATTTATTTATTAACGAACATATATTTAATGAATAATTAAATACACTTAAGATACCAAGAATGAAAGATAGTATTTATTTTATAATTTATTAATATAGTATAATTAATAATTAAATAATATTAGATTTGTTCAATATATGCAGCAGGTAAAGATGAAGAACACCTTTGACCAAGAGTTTGGATTTAGACGAAGTTCCGGAATAGTCCCATTAACCTTGTCATAATTCAACATCAACGGCCCTGCAAAAGATTTTTAAACAAGAAACATGAAAATTATGTTGTATGATCAATTATCACAATATAATAATTATTAAAAAGTCTATTTTTCTAGCTAATTTAAAAATGCACTTAGTTTTAAGTACTTGTATGGTTAAAATGATGAGAACTTAATATTATCTACACTCCCATTGATACTTGCTTTCTTTTGAAACTTAGTTTTATATATATCAATGTATAAACTCCCATCAATAGTTGATATTTATAATACTATTTTTTGTAATTTTAGAGAAGTTAAGAGGATTTATGACATAAATATGTACCGTTTTCATATAAGAAACCTGAAAGGCCAGAACAACCAGGTCCCCCAATAAGCCAAAGTAGGAGTGGATCATTCATGGGACTCCTTTCAGACTCAACGAAGTAATAAAATAGCTGCACCTCTTCTCTTTCATCCACTCCTACGTACCTGTATTAGAGGGTACATACGTTGTAGTAGGTTAAATTTAGCCACTTTAATTTCTTAATTATTAGTTAGTAGTTTTCTTTATTGAAAATAAATGTATTTTAATTTGATAATATTTGAAAATAAAAATATAAATGATTATAGCCTTACCCATGTAGCATGATCAATGAATAAGCGACTCACCCGGTTTCCAACGTGAATGGAAGATGCCCAAAACCTGGTAGAGATTTGACGATGAAATTTGAAGATGCGATGTGCAACAAATGCAGTGTGGTAACCAAAATGCACCATGCCTTCGAAACCCTAGCCATTGTGCCACTGTGTGATCATATAACACACTCTATAGACGAGGGTATATATATTTATAATAACAGTTTGAATGAATACATCACGTTATTTAAATATTGGATATGAGAATTTGGATTCGATTACTGCTCAGAGATCTGTGCAGCTCCCTTCGATGAATTAATTATCTTGTCTTTTTGCACTTTCACGTTAACTTTTCTTTGCTCACAAATTTGGATATATATAAAATACAATCTTCATTTCTCTTTATACATTAAAAATTGTTTTATTTATTTGTTCATGTAAGAGTTTAAAATGATATTAAATTAATAATAAGACTCTTTGATTTGAATTTTTTTTCTCTAAACAGATAAGTAGGAATGAAAGTACTGTTATTTTATACAACTTTTGTAGGATTTTGTTAATAGCTATTCTAGTGAAACTTTTCTTACAATTACCTATTTCATTTTTTATTACAACGTGATAAGCGAGGAAAAATAATTTAAGAGAGATTTATAATTTATTATTTGTTAATGCAACGTTGTCACTGCAATTTTCTTTTAATGATAGGTTTTTATTAACATAATCTAGGCATGTGCTAGTCAGTTTCCATTCCGCTTCACCGGGGACAACGTTCAATACATGGATAGTTTTTTTATTAAAACATTGACCTAGGAAAAACCAAAATCTTACTCAACTAGCGCTTAAGAAATTAATGTTAATAATTTTTAATTAAGTGTGTGAGAAGAGTGTATAAAGTGTTTATAAAAATAATTTAGTTTCATATAATTTATTTAAATAAGTTTTAAAATTTTTATTAATAAAATTTATAATCTAATTTATGATATAATGTATTTGAATACACAATTTAATAAAATACTTGTTTAATAATTTTTAAACAATAATTTATGCTTTAAATTTAAGTATAAACTATTTTCATAAATTATTCATAATTTAAAACAGAAACAAAAACGTTCTTATACAATAAAAATTTATTGAATAAACACTTAATAAAATTTCATCTCAACGTACTGTGAAATCATTACTCAAATAAAAGTCAAGGTCTCAGATAGCCATCAAAGGATCTACCTACAAAAGCTCTTTACCTACAAATTATAATATTAATATTTTAAAAATATAATTTTATTAAAATTATATAATTTAATTTAAATATATTTTATGAATATTTTTAGGATATAAATTATTTATTAAAGTATAACTAATTTTATTTAAATTTTTTAACAGATAATAAAAAATCAATATATTTAAGAAAATTTAAAAGTTTAAGAGAAGATTACGAAATTAGCTTACTTTTGTTAGCTTATTTTAATAATATTTTCATTATCGTTTATAAAAGATATTAGATTATTTTAATTATTTTTTACTAAATTTATTCCATACCTCATATGATAAAAATTAAATAAACAAATACTTAAGTAAACTTTTTAATATTTATTTGAATTCATTGTTATTCTTTTTATTGATATATTTTTTATTTTTAATAAAATGTTATCAATTTATCTTTGAAAAACTTCAATAATAACATATAATCGTTTTAAATGAATTAAGTTATAGAATTAGATACTTATCTTTAATAAAAATATATTAATTAATCTTAGTAAACTAATATTTTTATCAAATAATTATAATTTTTATTTTCAAAAATATTATTAGTAATTAGAAGCCAAAAATTGGAGCCTAAAACAGAGGTCGCTTTATTGGCCTCGGAGATATCGACATTGTTGATGCTCAGTTTTCCATATTTTTCTCTTATTGCTTTTTATTCATCGTGATTTTAAATATGCCAACGTGTTTTTAAATATGTACTATCTCTTTTATATTAACTTTTTAATTTTAATAATTAAATTATAATTGTTTGCATTGATAAGAAAATTACCATGTCTTTGATAGATGTGCTAGTAAGTCGGTCAATCTCTTGCGAGATATATACCTCATCACTTATATCACTGTTGTAGTAAAATTTTCAAGTAAACAAATAAATAAAAAACAATATGAGATTAAATTTTAAATCTTCTTTATGAGTTTTTTATAATATGTTTTTATAATGAAAATATTAACATTAGAAGAAAGGCATGACATAAAATAGAAAAGAGAAAAAGAAGAATATTTGAACAGAACAATAAAGAAAAGCAATAAAATATTAAAGTAAATTGCTGAAATTGATATTAAACTGTAATACATAAATGTTGATTTTTCAGCTGAAAGCTAGATTCCTTTGCCATCATCTTTTATGAAAATTTATCAAGAACTTTCTTTCATTTTGACTAAAACCAACCATGTTTTCCTTGACCATCATCTTACCCCGACAGCTTGTCAAAAAATCATTTCCTTATTTGAGCTATAGTAAGAGATTTTTACTGCAACCAGAAGTGGATAAGACTACCCTAACCACCGCTACAGCAAGAATTTTTGTTGGAGCAAAAATATCAAAAAAATAGAGGAAAAACTTCGTCTGTTCTTTTTGCTGTAGCGAGAGCATCATGAAGCTGAGTGGTATTTAAGAGTTTTCCAACATAAAAACTTCTTTTTTCACCTCCATTCACGTTCTCACCCCAAACTCTCTTAACTCTCACTTATTTCTCTCAAATTAAACCTCTCCAAACTCCAATTGTTCTTCAAATCTAAGGTTGTAAGTTTGTTCTAAGCAATTATAAGTAAATTTCTCTAAGTTTAACTCCATATTCACAGTTGATTTCTCTCTGTTTCATATTTCTGAAAGGTATCTTATGATATTTAGAAAATATCAATTCTAGGACGTTAAACTTCATTAATCTTTCTTTAAATCTTCATTTTAAGGTAAGGGGAGCTATGCTCAAACCCTAGACTTTATTTATATGTGTATTGATTTTGAAAGAATCAAGCTGGGATTTTGAAAGAATCAAGCTGTTTTATTATGGACATTAAATCTGTAAAGTTTCATTGAAACTATAGGGTGAAAATGGATTTTTGGTATAAGAAAAGGTTTTGCTTTGTTTGAAATCGCTTAAATTTGAGTTTATAGTAAAAATAGTAAGCTAGAATGAGTTTAAGAAGTTTAGAGACAAGTTATTCAAATTATAGATGCATAATTAATGCTGAAAGTTATCACTTTTTTGAATAGTATGTGTGTTAAATGATAAAAAGGTAGAAAATGCTGAATTTTTGGCTAGAAGACTTATTTAAGATCGAGAGAATATGATCTTCAGCGATATATTTTTTATTTGTATTATTAGGCTAACTTCGAGAATATTCGACCTTTAGTATATTGTGATGAACTGTATGATACTATGTTATTGTCTTGTAAATATGTGCTGAAATGAAAGATTTGATTGTTGTGCGAGATTAGTGGGCCTATATGAGAATTACTCATGCATGAAATTGGAATGTGTAACCCCAGATTTTAAAATAATATTTTAATGTATTAATATAAATTTATAAATTGATGTATTGAAGCATTTGATTGTGTAATTATTTGAATGTAACTATGGTTGTGAAGATGTATGAATATGTTGTTAAAATGTGATGTGGACTTGTGCTTGAGCATGATTATTGATGATTGACTTGTGTTTGGGCTGGAGTTGTTTGAGTATATAGGCTAAGTGTATGCTGTAGGGGTGTTCTCGTTGTAGCGAGAGGATCCTTGCTATAGCGATAAGGTCTTGAGCAAAGAGCATGAAATTGTGTCGTTCTCGTAGTAGCGAGAAGGCATTGGGAGAAGAGGGTGAAAATGTTGCGCTCTCGCGGTAGCGAGAGGGTGACAATGGAGGGTGTATTTCTAGGTGCAATCTCGTTGTAGTGAGATTCTACAGAAAATAGAGTGCAGTTTCCTCTGAGATTTTCGCTGTAGCAATAGAGTGCAGTATACTTCTGAGAGCAGCTCTCTATTAACCGCTCTCTAAAGTCATTCTTGGAGAGCGGTTAATAAAAAATCGCTCTCTAAAGTCATTAAAGTCGTTTATAAATGAAACACGTTCAACGCATTTCTTATTCTTAGCTAATAAAGTTGGTCTCTTTTACTGTAAGTTTTGTTCGTCTTCTCTGCTTTCTTATGTTATCTTCATCTTTTCTGGTAGCTTGCTCTCATTGTCTTCTCTCACTAACAAATTAGTTTTTTTTCCCACATCTGTAAGTACTTCTTCATCCTTCTCTCTTCATCTTCTATGTACTAACAGTTTTTTTTTCATATCTATAGTTACCTCTTCATTCTCTGTTGTTCTCTTCATATTTCTGCGCTAACAAATTTTATTTTATTTTTCACATTTATAGATACTTCTCCATTCTCTCTTTCTTTCTTCTTTTCTTTGTTAACGGTGAATCATCTATTCTTTTTTCTTTCTTTTTTTTTTCTCTCTATTAACGTTAAAACTCATCCTACTAATTTGTTCTTTTTTTTTTTTTTTTTTCTATTTGGTTCATGCAAATATGGATTGTTTTTGGTTAACACAAAATGTATAAACTCAATATTCAATTTTGACTTGTGATAAAAATAAAGAAAACTTACAAAGATATCAATTCTAAATTTTGATTTAAACGTAATGATAAATTAATTTTACTTTACAACATATCAAAAACTCAAAAAGAAATTAATTTCAAATTTCAGATTCGTAGTCTACATTTATACTTTGGAGAGTGGTTTCACGTGGAACTGCTCTATAATCTTACACCTATATTTTGGAGAGCGGTTCTTGATGGAACTGCTCTCTAATCTTAACTTTTGAGATCGATTGTTTAACCGTTCTCTTAAATATAACATATCAGATAGCGCAGGATTTTAGAGCATTTTTAAACGCTCACTAATTTAAAATAGAACCGCGCTCATATCTCTATTCTGGCATAGTATCTCAAACACCTCTTTAGGTTTGTTCTCTTGCACCACATGACACCCTCCCTGCAAGTAAAGGTTCATATGTTCAATAAACATGAATGAAAAGGTATTTTCTTAAAAGGGAAAAATTATATGAAGTCATATTAAATATTCTATCTTTTAAAAATAGGGATTTTTACTTTGATCTTTTATTTTAGTTGC